CTAGCTGCACATTGAGAGGCGTATAATGAAAATTGTTGCATGAAAATATTTAATTTTCAAGCTTCATTTAAAGACTTTTTGAATTAAATTATAAATTAAAGAGTTGTCCTTCCTGGCTGAGGGTCGGAGTCCCTTAAAGTTTGCAGACAAACAGACAAACAGGAAAAAAAAACAATATACGCCTCGGATCTTTCGATTCAGGCGCATAAAAATATTTTATCGGAAAGGTTATAAGAAAAATCCAAAAAGATCCGAACAAAAACTTTTGGTCCGCATCCGTTAGTAGGAAGTTGTTCCGGCATCCTGCCGAAAGTGGAGGATCTGACGCACCAACATAGGTTTCACATTGGAGTGGTACATGACAGTTAAGTTATTTTAATTGAGCACGGAAAAATAATCATAGAGAGAGGTCTCTGCATTGGATAAAGTGCAGTTATGTCGCTGAGTGCGACCGCTGAGGAGAAAAATGGCACGTCCACAGGGTCAACAGATGACATTCTGAAATCAACAGGGAATGACGAGCTCAAATTCGGCCTGTTGATCAGTTTGTTGAAGGTGGACCAAGTTCCAAATAAAGATGTTGTGGACACAGTATTACATTTGGTAAGTATTATTCCGAGTGAGAAAGGGTGGGCGTGGCATGGTACCTGCAGAGTCGAGGGATTTATTGTGCATGTTTCAGCTATGTTTCACACCTGAAAATGTTAATTGCACCAAAACTATACTTTTAAAGCTGCTAAAAGTTGTTTCTGTAAATAATGCCACAGTGGCATTTTTATATGCCACCATGAAAATTTGGAAAAACATACCAATAACCATTATTTGATGACAACTAATTAATGAAAGTAAAAAAAAATAAGTTTTTGAAACACACTGAAAAGGGATAAAACATATATCATAGATAATCAGAGTTGGTTAAAACTGTCCATCCTGTCTGCAAGGTTGATAAACAAATTGTATGGACTAATAGCCATGGACCTATATACTAACATTAGTATAATGGTCCTTGTCAATGAAAATGTCATTCTAAATACTGTTTGAAAAACATTTGCATAATTGATTCAAATTTTAAAAGACTGGGAACAGGTTACACAGGTGAAAGTCACAAAAAAGGAGAAATGGCAATGTGGTGACAGCGGTTGATCAGATTTGTTAAAGTGAGGACTTAAGTTGTGTTAATTATAATGTTCCTGACTTAAGAAACTTTATCCTAAAAAATGAAAATCGTGAGATCAATTACTGTTGAAAATAATAAGGGGCATTTGGATATAGTCATGTATTTTCTCTTTTGTATAAAATAAGGTTTATGTATCTGTTCTGACAAAAGTTTTCCTGGTTATGTAGATTCTTAATTAAACCTTGTCAAACCAAATATCTGACAGTAATTCCAAAATTTCAACAACTTGGTATAATTACTCCCATCTGATGGAGGCAAAGTATCTCAAGTTCAATTAAACGGAAACATAGCATCAAGACCTAAGTAACATATATTGTGCAAGTAAATGCTGAGAAATTCTACTTTTAAATTATAGCAATGGTGTCTTACTATTAAAGAATTTAACTTTATTGATGCTTTATTTTAAAAAAAATTGCTTCTATACTTGGTGGTACTGTGTTGTGTTTCCATGGAGCTACTTTTATATAAAACAATGTTTTAATTCATGTACTCTGTAGAAATTTAATGGAATTATTAATTTCATTCTGAATCCCACTGAACTATGTCATCTTTCACTATACAATATATTAATGAACAAGATATCAAATGCTTGCATGCAATATAAGAAATGCTGAGTATATATAGTGTGAAAGAAGCTAAATTTCCTGTCCCTGTGTCTGCAAGGGAATTAACTGCTTCCTGTTTCTTTGGATAAAATAGAATAGAATGGTAGATATAATTAATTAGAGCCATATAGATCAATACACACTGTATTGATTTCTATCAGGTATTCCAGGGTCTACTGCTGCACTCAAGTTAGAACAAGTGCTGACCCAGATTTTTGTATCCAATTTCCCATGAAACCATTCATTAAAAAAATTAATTAAGTATATAACACCCTTGTGCCAGGATTTCTTCCACTGGTGTGATATATAGTGCTAATTAATATGTATATGCATTTAAAATATATTATACAGAAATTATTATAAATGCTAGTGGAGGGGAGGAATGTATTATAAGGATGATAACCTTGATAACTAAACTCAAAGCATGTGATAATTCATGCATGAGTGGCTTTTCAAATGATGTGAATTCCAAGCTCCTAAGTCTTCTAACATAATACCAAATTAATATAATAAATAATGCTTTTATATGAAATCTTTTATGTACAGTATACCATTGTAACCTTTATCTTGTAACCTTTTTGTAAAGTGCTTTGGTGGTTTCTTGACCATTAGGATTGAACTTTGTACAAAAAAAGTCAAACTAATTCTTAAGGGATAAACAGGCAAATGCTTCATTTGATGCCAATTTCTGATAATTAAGTCAATGGCATATCTTTCAAACTTAGTAGATAGAAAGAGGTTGCTAGCAAGCTTCTCTCACATCTGTGGGATTTTCCAGTAAATTATGAAGAGACTCTTTCTTATTACACCACTATTTATAAAATAATATTTCTAAATTGGTTTTATTGGATTTCTTGCATTAATCTCCTTTTTTAATATCATAAATAAATGAAATATGACAGATCAAAATCAATTGCATGTTTTAGCATTAGAGACTGAGTCACTCGTGTATTGTGTATTGCTGTACTCACAACTATTGGTAAAAAATTGCAACCAAATAAATAAATACTTTAAGTTTGAATCAGTGACTTATTCAATGTACAAAATTTATAGTTAATTTCTCTCTCATTTAAAAAGAGTAGAGAGATCATAAAACTTTAAGGAAATGAAATCCCCTTCTCCTTTCTTTGAGCTTGTTTAAAAGAGCTGTCTTCTTTCTGTTGATGTAGAAAGACTATGGGTAAGATGTATTGTAACGTGGATGAAATAGAGATACCCGTTAATAAGAAAGATATAACTTTGTCGTATAAAGCATATAGAGCAGTCAGTAAAGTATAATCATGTGGAACAGTTAGTAGAATATAACTAGTTGCCAACCTTGTTGCAGGGAACCTTTTAAGTTGCCTCTGTACTTTTAAATAAAATAAGATATATTAATTTAATGTGTTTATTCCCCATTTTCAAAAGTGAGTTATCTCCCCTCAAAATCGGAACTCTTCTACACTAGCCTAACTTCCGCGGGCTACACATTACGATAATCCAACAAAATAGTGATCAACTTACACACTGTATTTAAAAATTTTAAAAGAAGGAAACGGTTTGCATTTTTTTTAGATAATGAATTATTTTATAAAAGGTCTGTTAGCCCCCCCCCCCCCCTTTCTAGAAAGCTATACGAATTAGCCAGACACGAAGCATCATCTTTAAAAGTGGGGGGGGGGGGTAGCCAAAGAAATATTTTTTTCTTACCTTGAAAAGTTGACAAGCAAAGAAAAACCTTGCCCAAAGTTGAAAAAGCCACTTATTTCAGTACCAGTTCCTTGGCATACAATACTACATTTCTCTTATATAACTTTACCGTAGTATTAACTGTGTGTGGGTGGGTGGGGGTGGGGGGGGGGGGTTGGTTGGCAACCTGTCTATCAATGAACATTTTCAATAGAAAAAGTAATATTGGGAAAAAAGTGGGGGTGGGGCTAAGCTCCTTCACCCCCCCCCCCCCCCCCCCCGTGCATACAGGTACATAGAACGTGTACATGTATGTCAGTTACACGGGGTTACATGAGTCTCTCTCTCTCTCTCTCTCTCTCTCTCTCTCTCTCTCTCTCTCTCTCTCTCTCTCTCATATTGTTTTTTACACACTTTGCAAAAAAGAATAATTTAAAAAAATAAATACATGTACTTACACTGAAAGGATTTTTAAAAAATAAATAACAGTTGAGAAAAGAATGTTTTCCGTTAATTAACGAGAAATACGCTAGGAAATTATTGTATCAATTTCGTGGTTCTGCTCTCAATTCTCTGATCTAAAACAAAATGTGTATTTTACTCGGGAATATACATGTACATATGCTTAGATCCTACACTAAAACTTTGATTAAATGCAGCTCAGACTTTATACGACATATGTAACACGAATTCAGGTCAATGCTATTTTAATTAGTCTTTCTTCGTTACATGAGGACATGAGATTAAATTATTCATTTAGAATTCTATTCAAAGTTTTAATACTACATATGGTGAACCAATTATTTTACAAATAAAAAATTCTAGAAACACTGTTAATTCAAATGAAATAGGCCTTTCATTGTCACCAAATATGTTCTTGTAAAAGTAAAAGTTCTATGTTATGACATACAATCGAGCAAAAACGCAGTTTCTTGGTATTGGTCGCGGAAGACGAAGTACTGCTGTATATGCAGCAATTTCAGAGGTAATCATCAGTCTCCAAAAAATTCCTAGAGATACAAAGAAAATATGGCTGCAGCAGGCTAGATTAATTCTTAAAACAGAGACGTATAATAGAAAAAAAAAACTTTATAACTAAAAATTTGTTCCACACATTTTGTAAATAATGATGATCCGTCTGCAGAATATCCACTACCGAAAATTAGCTTATTAGCTTTTTTTTAATAGGCCTATTCGAATACGTATCAGCATTTTATCAGTAATTTGTTTCTTTCTTTTTTTTTGTAAGGAGGGGGGGGGCACACAGCACCTTATTATAGTACTACACAGATTAATACAAATCCAGAAAGAGACTGTGAGTGGGCAATATAAAAAAAAATACGAATCAGTTAAGATTTCTTTTTATTCACAAGCACAATAACATTTTTCCATATGACAGATGTATTACACCATAAACATGTTTACATCAAGAACGTCCGCGGAAGTGACTTTATTTATAGCACATGCGTATTAAACACAGTAAAAGAGTTCCCTTCAGGGGAAATAACTCACCTTTTGAAAATGGGGAATATCAGGTATGTTTCTGGACTGGAATATTAAAATATAGCTAGCTATGATGTATGTATGATTGTAGTGGTGTAATTTGAATTCATTCCAGTTTGCTAATTCTACTGTTTGTAAATATTGTCAAAACCAGAGGTTATTTTTAAAAGTTATATGTTTGACAAAGTCAAATACAACCATTAGAATAAAATTTGCAACAGATTTGAAATTCAAGTATTCAAAATGAAATAAATTTTACATTGAAATATTCTGTCAAACAATTTCAGTGTTTTGATTTGATTTTTCAAACAACAAGAAAACACAATCCTCTTGCCATATCAGAGTGCTCTATCGACTGTCATTTTATAATGATAGGAAAGACTGACTTCTATCTGCCAAAAAACAAGCTGCTTCTGGGAATGTAAAAGATTGATTTAAATTTATTGCATCTCATCAAAGAGCCCTGCTGCTCATTTAATAATTTTTTACTGTAATTTTTTTCAACTACAAATCATGCTTAGTTTAACAGTGTATGTCTGTGAGTAATTTTATTGATGGTGCTACGAGCTATATTGGGCCATTAATAGTGATTTGTAAAAGAACAAAATAGCTGGGATGACTGCAATCAGAGTAAATATGCATGGGGACAGGAAATGCTTCATTATATAGTAGAGCATCCCACATGAAGTGCCTTGTCTCATGAAATGGGATAACATACGGATACATATATACGTTTATGCTATAAATATAATTCGACATAGGATTTCAGGGTACACAAAATCTGCGGAAAGTTTGCTTTCTATAAATTAAAGTTTCTGAATTTGTTGTTTCAATCTTCAAATCAATTTTTTCATGATATTTGTATTGGGGGAGGGGGGGGGGGGGTAGGGTTTCAATTTTGTACATTAATTATTTTATGCATACTGACACAAACTGATTAAACATGATACATTAAGAGAGAGTCAGTATAGATAACATTCACAATGGTAATTAGAGTGCACATGCTTTGAAAAGCTCCATGCATTACAGATGACCTTTTTAAAATAAAGCAAAAGGTCCATTTTCCCTTCAAACCTAAAGATCAAATGTAATGATCACATTAAAGATGCAAGTTCTCTTAGAAAACAGAAATACCAAGGAGTCATTTAGTGTACAAAGGAGACAGTCGCTTACAGGTAAATAGAAATATACATCTTCCCAGGTAATAGATTCCAGAGAGATTAAATGGACAGGTACATGCATCTGGCTCAGCATTCTGATGGATCATTGATCAGGGATAAAATTTATCACCCTGATTAATAAACCCCACACAAAATCAGTGTCAGCAACCTGCAGCAGGAAGGAATGCATGATTTATTGCTGTCTGATGAGCCATAATTACCCACCAGAGATAAAAGTAACCCCAGTCATTACGGGACAGAGAAAGCAACTCAACATTTAATTAATGCACCTTGAAATGATATTTAAATGTTATTTTAGTCTGGTTCTTTGGCTAGTTGACTATATTTTTTTAGACAGTGCAGTTAAGACAGGGAGGTTTTTCATTATATTGACAACAGGATGCTGCGTGGGCTTTGAAGACTGTTATCTGGTAGCAATATCAGGGTGCTGGGAAGATCTTTAAATGATTGATTAAGGGTCCTTCTTAGATCTATGCACTGTCCACTAAAAGCTGGCTGTTCAATGAAACCTACAATTAGAGGGTACACAAGCACAATTATAGAAATTGGATGTCAATATTTGCAGCCCTTTCCCATAAATGTTTTACAAACTGCAAGTGATGATTCAAGATTGATCAACATTAATAACATTCATTTAGTCAGTGATATGGATGGAATTCAAATCAATACTGGTTTTTTCATTAATGAACCTCTGTGCCTGAAGACTATGTGTCTAATGATAAAAAAATAACTCTACTGTCTTAAATTCTAGAAAAAGATTGTTTGCCCTTTAAAAAAAAAAAAAGAATTGAAATGCATTTAAATTGCAGACAAACCTTGCATATAAAATCAAAAAATTTTGCACGACAGTGCTTGTCTATCATTGAGTTTATTACGAAATTCACTTATGTAAGGTATTCCTAATATATTATTGATACTTTGGTATATGTAAAATCTTTCATGATATTAGAATGTGCCCACTATATTTACACTATACAATATCATTTGTTACCTTCCTGAATGAGACTGAAGTCTATCAATTTTCTGTAACAGAGTCCAGGGATTTACAAATCAATATTTGTACCTATAGGTATTTGAACTCAGCTATGTAACCATTATTTTTATAATGAACTCACTCGAGCGAGCTTGGCTTTAACTTTAGTGACTATTGACATTTTCTTTGAGTTTGTGGAATTGCAGCTTTGCTCATGCATATTTTAGACATTGACCAACAAGAATGAAACACCTGTAATGATTTCACAATGTGGAATAAGCATGGTTTGCTAAATAAAGGCCTTTTATATAATTTGCTTTATCTATATTTGTGCACATCTACTAGTACATTCATGATGCAGTAAAAGGTATTCTATTAATAAGATGTATTTGCAACAAAAATGTACAATTTTTAAAGAAACATTTTATATACTGATTTTACAAGCACATTATACTATGAAATACATTTGTACTACAGAATACAAGTAAATTTAAGTATAAAAGATTTTATGCCTTTTTGTCATTAAGCTTTATTTTTAGTAAGTAGAACAAGATTACTGGAGTATTGATAACCAGGAAATGAACTTGGGATTGTGCTAATTTTTTTTCTGTATATCTGGCTTATGTTTCCTGAATATTAGTCAATGAATTCCTATTTCAGAGCAATGAATTCCTATTTCAGAGCAGTCGGAAAATGTAAAAAGGTAGCAATTTATAATTCCACTGGGTCCTAGGGAAAAGCTTTTGAAAATTAGTTTATAATTTGGTTAAAGAAAAGCCATGCCTGAGAGTTTTGTAATGCTAGTTAGGGAATATCTGGTAATGATCTGTCTAGAGGAAGGTGTCTGTAGCATCATTCAGATATAAAAGCATCAGACCTTAGTTAGTGCCTTAGGAATTCATCCCTATCCCTATAAAACCCCACAATGACCAAAGTCTGGTATGGCTCTTGTGTAGAGCAGTCTCCATAACAATGGAGTGAAATCCTTCACCATAAGCTGACAATTTCATCATGAATTAACAGTGTCTCGTTGATGGTGTATGGATGATTGATTTGGAAATTAAACTGGAAGAAACTGAATTATTCTTTCCATAATGAACAAAATTTTAGACCAATTATATTGAATTATCCAAGTCTTTGGTAACAGCCATTGATTTGCCGCCCAGTAATTGCGCTGTCTTGAAGTTGAATTTTATTAAATTAAAGGAAATGAGGAGGAAAATAAATTAGAGCAGCTTCTTCTGTCTTAGGACAAGTGTCCTTGATGAGACAGTTCTCGATCGTTCTTCAAAATAAGGACTTATAGTCATTTTACTTTGAATATTTTATCTCAGCAGTTTTCTCCTTGAACATGTAAAAGAAAAAAGTTACTAGATTATTGCAAAAATTGATCTTTTCCCAGTCCGGTGTCTTTTTGCAGATGGATGAGTTTTATAGGTTATGTTTATTTGAATTCAATAAAATGTTGTATAAAGACATTTTTTTCTAGCTGAGATGCTCATTGATTGTGCCTTGATCTAAATAAGAAATCAAATGTCTTTGATTTCAATTTTAAAAAAAAAGGGTGATTAAAGGACATGGCTTTTTTATCACCATTTTAATTTGTTGATTATGCATTTAATTTTTATTCATCTATGGTTTTGAAATAGAAATGACAAATATGGATACATGTATGACAATCTTTGGTCAAAGTTAAAATAGGAATCCATATTACTTTTTTGATTTCTCTAATATTTTTGTCAGTCCCTCTTTACTCATGATATTATGCATCATCTCAAGCCACAATCTGGAGTCTTCATGTAACTTTCTCTTCATATTGGGGAGAGGATCCTACATTTTGGCTGTAGTTTGTGATGATGGATATGATATTTTAATTAATTTCATTAAATTATTTTTACTAGTGAATTAGATTGAATTACCAGGTAGCAGTTTTTATCTGAATCATTGATATACATAGTAATAAGAATGTGTTACATGAAATGTTAAACATTGTTTACTATCAGTATGTTATATTTGAATGAATGAAAATTTTGCTTGTCTTTCAGCTGGTGGGAGGAGAGTTTGACATTGAGACAAACTTCATCATCCAGGAGCCACAGAATATTCTTCACATGTTACGCGTCTTCTCCAGTTGTACTGTAACACTACAGGTACACAGTGTCATCTAATAGCGTGAATCATTATAATGCAATGTTGGTATTGTCTCCTTGTTTTATCTTTGTATGGAAAACCCAGAGGGCACCATATCATCAGAATGATGGCTTAAAGAACTTGTTTACATATTGTGCAGTTGTAGGCATTGATTATTTGTGTACTCTTTACACACAGAATGTAGTGCATATCGTACATACTTTATAAGAAATGCCTTTTATAAGAAATGCCAGCAGGCAATTTTATGTGAATTATTTATAAGATCATTATTTACTTATTCTAATAGCAACAAAAAATAATACCTTTACACAGATGTCCTGATTCAGAAAAAGAGGAAGAAATGACTCAGATTTGTAGATGTACTAGTACATTTGTAGATGTACTAGTACTAGAATTGATTTTTATATCAACTAAGGGGCCAGATTCGGCCGTTACCCTACCTTGTCCTTTAAGCCCTTCAATGGCATTCCCACTTTATTGGATGAAAAAATCTTGCAAGGATGTTAAACTACAGACAGTCAATCATTATTAGGTATATAAAAGGTCTGTATAGGTAAACAAGTGTAGAATACTTTTGAGTAGTTTTGGATAAAATGTTTTAGATTTAAGTAACAATTTACGAGTAATCATATTTTGCAGGCTGAAATATGGAGTGTTTTTACTGCGATGTTAAAGAAGAGTCGTCGGAACTTACAAGCGTGTACAGAGGTGGGGCTGATAGAACACGCTCTTAATCTGATGAAGGATGTGGACGATGTCATAGCAGGTATGGGATAAATACTGTAAAACACGCTTATAACAAAGTTTCTCTGCCAAATACCTCCTAAATGTTTTATCAAAAGAATATGAGATACATGTAATAGTATCTGTTTTGACCTTCATAGATCTTCTGGTGGACATGCTGTCTACACTGGCCAGTTACAGCATCACGGTCCGAGAACTGAAAATGTTGTTCTCCATCCTGGAGGCCTCAGAAGGGGAGTGGGTAAGTAAATGGCTCAAAGAATTTCTGTTTTGGGCCCTTGGTTTTATTTTTATCTGCATGTGTACAATGCATTAATGTATCTTTCATATGTGATATTTTGGCTCATATTATGAAGTTGAGAATCACCATTTGGAGACGTGCTATGATCTTAATGAGATGTTTCTGTTGTAATGGAATCTATTCACTAAATATGATAGACATAGATAATAACAAAATTATACCATCATTTTGATGATATTCTTTTTACAAGTAACAAAGGATTATTTATTTTATGTATAGCAAAGACATGCTGTGAAGTTATTGTCGGTCCTACAAGTGATGCCACAGAGGGAAGGTCCTGATGAGTTCTTCAGCTTCCCAGGGAAAAAGGGATCAGTATGTACAAACTTATTTTTGTCTTTTCTTGTGTAGCTGAGGTTGGTTAAGGCTGCTGTTTTACAAAGATTGGAACTTTCATGAGTTTATATTTTGCATGTAGAAAAACAAAGATCAATATACATGTATGTCGTCATTAATTACTTATTTCTATTATGGTGAAGCCATTAAATTGAAAATCGTTTCAATTTTAGTTTATTGCCCTTCCTCCTATAAAAACCTGGCCATACCAGAACGGCTGGACATTTACATGCTGGTTACGACTAGACCCAGTTACTGGGGTCACAGTGGAGAGAGAAAAACCCTATCTATACTGGTAAGTATAGCTCAGCTTAATGAAGTTTTGTGGATAGTGATTAGTAAATCATACTGTACATGCATATTGTAAAGATTTTGTTTGATTTAGCTGCAAAAATATATGTATGAAAACTTTAATCAAAGTACTGAAAGTACTGTTAGACGGAGGCTTACACAAAAGAAATATATTTGTCATACATAGCTGTATATATATAGAATATTATGAGGAATAATGTGTAGGTTTTTTTTTCAATTCAAATTTTTTAAAATGATACTCCAATATTCATGAGGTTGTTGGGATATTATAATTTCATTAAAGTTCACTGTTATTTAGATCAAATACTTTCAATATTAAACACTTCAACGTAAGAAACAGTAATTGACTAGGCCTGGTTGACATAATACTTTGACGGGCTCACTTTTTATCTCAGTCTCACTTAAGGAATATATAGTGGAAAAGTGAGACTGAGATCAAAAGTGAGCTTGTCTAAGTTTTATGCCCCCAGGCCCGGTTTGATGAATGTAGGTCTAGTATGTTCTAGTGATGAGCCCACTGGTGGATTTGGAAGGGGCCTCAGGCCCCCTCCCTTTTGAGTCCAAAAAATACACAATATTTGATAAATGAATGTTTTAATCGTGGCTGTGGGCCCCTCCCCTGACCTCAAACTGGTTCCCCTTTTTCAGAATTTCTGGATTCAGCACTAGGCCTCAGCCAGTCAGGAGTTTCCATATTTCAAGATATCTTATTTACAGGTCACAGAGACCTACTGTTAACATAATTATGACATGTAACAGCTACCAAAATCAAAATTTCTCGGCCTTATTGTAATAATGTTATGATATGAGCCAACATGGAAAAAGAACAAGCCAGATAATTGGACATGAACAACATAATATAGTACAGTTTGTCTTAAACCTTTGTGATACAAAATGGGGTGACCTAGCTTGAAAGCAACACAGAATTTTTTTTAAGTAATACAACTTCATTAACATGCAATAAATGTTTGTGCCAGAACACAATTTTTTGAGTGGAATAAAATATTATGCTTTCTTACTTTATGTAAACAGAACAATAAGACTTGCTATTTCACAAGTTTTTGTTTTTGGACAACTAGAGTATTGCTTACAATAACAAAGATACATCTTGACAAATTTGACAACTAATATTTCTGGAAGTATTAAATGTAGTATTTTATCATATGACAGATTTAACCCAAAAAATATATTTCTTTACTCGTATACCAGTGGAAATGGTTGTCCTTTTCAGTTTATCTGTTTAAAACAATCATTAACAATGAGACATGATTACAAATTATGTAGAGAAAAAGTTATAAATATATAACTATGATTTCTGCTTTTCAGTAACTCTGTTAGAACAATCACTTTACCAATGATGTAGGGTAAAAAAATTGACATGAATACCAATGATAAGAAATACATATAATCTTGTATATAAAAAAATTATTAAAGTTTGAGATGTGAAAGAGGTAAAACACAAGTATCGAATGCAAATAAGGATAAACGAAATGACAATAAGACAACTTATTTCAGAAGATATAATTTTTAATTATTAATCATGATATAATGTGATAAATCATGTAAATCCTATGAACCAAGATTTGGGTTGTAACCAAGGGTCAAACGTAACAGATGCATATTGATCTCAATATCAGAGTTGCCGTTTGTTTCTCTCTTATCTTATGTGAGGGTACCCCAAACACTCAAACCGCTTGTAGAAAGTGTAAATCTATTTTCATGTTTTTCCTAAAATTATACATATCAAATAAACAATTCAAAACTAGACTGAAAATATTCCTAAAGATAAAAATACTATGCATTTGTTTATTCATCGATCCCTGTCAGATTACAAACCTCACAAGAAACCTATTGACGCAAGCGTCAAAAATCGGCCGCAAACCAATTTATCGGTCCTTTCAAGAAGAAATTAGAAAAGGAACGAAAAATGAGATTACAAACAGCAATCAAGCACAAAAAATTCCATTAAAACTTAAATGTTTGATCTATTATTAAAATATCTTATATTTATCCCTGTGACATAAAACATTTGCATGCAACATTGCAGGATTTTCTTCAATACATAATACAGGTACATTGCATAGTCATCTGCGTCTCCACACTTAGTTTGATACAGGCGAATTCTGGTGGAAGTTTTTACAATTAAGTAGAAAACTAAAGTTTAAACTTATCTGTAACTAGAGATAGTTTTTACTTTAATAAAAGAAGCAATTGATAAGTGGGGCTCCTCAATCACTCTCCGCGGATGTTAAAACCCCCCAAACTCCCTCTAGATCCGCCACTACATTTCTTCTCGTTCTTGTTTTGGTGTGAGAATCGGTGGGAAAAGGCCCGGCATATTGTAAAACGCGCTTTATCATCGTCTGTTGGAACAAAATCTCCTAATATTCTGTCTGATAAAAAATTAACATTAAATCACTTTTTTTTTTTTTACATATTCCGTAGGAAATGTATTTATATACACGTCATTTTAAATATATTCAACAAATCCTGTTTATTTAGAAAAAGTGGAACTGTTTGTTTATACTTGTATGTGACGCGATCTTTGCTTTAGACTATGCCTATCCTATCCTGGCGGCCGGTGTATCAGTTAAACTCAGAGTCGCTCTAAAAAAAGAATTCCCAAGGTAATGAAAACAATTCCACCGATAGATGGTGCTTGGTGAATCCTCATTATTTACGTCATGGGCAAGACAATCCCAATACCCGGAGGCTGTCATACAGCCTCCGTCTAAAAAACTGGTAATGGTTTCAGTGATGTCTGCTATAGTCAGAATAAAAATGTTAATGGTGTGAATATTAAAATTTACACAGGAAATTTATTATTCTTTGTAGTTTTAAAACCAACAAAGGGGTTGGATATTCTGCCCATTTCCTTGGAAATTCCCTGGTCATCACAACCATGAAGATCAAAGGCAAAGGTTTCCAGCACTGTGTCAAATATGACTTCCAGCCCAGAAAAGTAAATGAAATAAGATAGGGAGATGAAATTCATTGCTCTTTTAAAAATGAAAATATTGTTCACTCATGCTTTTCATGTGATCCAGACAACAATTTTTAAAGTACATGTACTCTTGTATTGATATGAGCAATCTTGTTAAAAGACGTAATGGGTACATTAGAAATAAAAAAGTCACAGGATTGAATCAGTTAGTGGTTGGTCTCATAATCTACCAACACTGCCCTAATAATTTTGGCTAGTAAGAAATTTTAAGGATGCCAGTTCATAATATTGAATCATTTACATGTATATCAAAAGAGTTACAGACTGAATTGTATATTTCAGTGGTACATGGTGACGGTGGTACATGTATACAATCGATGGAGTAAATCAGAGCTGCGATGTTACGTTAACGGAGAAATCGTGTCCAGCACAGACATTTCCTGGCTCGTCAGCACCAGTGATGTAAGAATCAGCCAACCATGAAGCAGTTAATTTGTAGCTAATGAATCATGCAATGGGTTTAAATGTTTATTGACTGCATATTTTATCCATATCTTATTGGAATACTGCTTGTATGAGAAGTTGATAGAGACTGATGTGTATGAGTTATTTTGGTAAATGCTGGCAGCTGAATACTCTCTCATCCTAAAAAAAAATAAAAATGAGAATTTACAGTTAAAAGAAAACCATGGTATATAATTTAGTGTAAATGATCAAAAAGAGTATAGTATTTCACTAAACATGCTATTAAGTACTTGTATTTATATTTCTATACAGCCTTTTGACAAATGTGTTCTGGGAGCCAGTTCTGAGGGGGAGACTGATCACATGTTCTGTGGTCAGATGTCCACTGTTTATCTATTCAGTGAGGCCCTCACACCTCAACAAATATCAGCCATATTTTATCTAGGACCAAGTTACAAGGTAATATTTTCTAGCCCTGAACATACCCGGTGCTCAAGCCTTCCTGAGTACCAATTGCATTCTTTTTTTCACAGAATGCTAGTTTTATCTGTCAACTTAATATTCATATCAAATCTACAATTTTTAGAGCCAGTTTCGATTTGAAAATGAAAGCGGTTTGGGAACTGTTGTGGTCAACAAAAGAGTAAGTTTGTTTTCAAAACACTTTTCAGAAATACATGTAATAATTTGTAAATTAAACTATTCTTCATTCATTATTGTTTAAAAACCCCTTTCTGTTTTAGCTGCTGTATGATGGGAAGTTGACATCGTTGATCGTATTCATGTATAACCCTATAGCATGTGACGGTCAGCTGTGTCTGGAATCAGCACCAAAAGGAAATGTCTCCTACTTTGTCCATGTTCAGCATGCTCTTATGTCTGGGGTAAGGAATCATATTGCCAAGAATGGCTATGTGTCTTCAAGAATTTAAAGATTTCAATCTATTTTTGATAATTTCAATTTTACTGTGTCTTTAACAGGATGTAAAGGCTGTGATAACACATTCCATCTACAGTACTCTTCATTCACTTGGAGGAATCCAGGTTTGTAGTCATATGTATGGAATTATTGTTTTCTAATCAAAGAGGTGAATTAACATTCAAAATGCAGCCGGGAATCATTTTTAGCTCACCTCGACGAAGTCGAGATGAGCTTATGATATACCCCCGGCGTTGGCGTCGGCGTTAGCGTCGGCGTCCTAGGTTAAAGTTTTAGGAGCAAGTCCATTCCTAAGTAACTATAAGCCCTACCTGAACCAAAGTTGCATGGATGATGCATCTAGGGATGGACACTACCAGACTTGCTTCAGATGCTGGATCTGACTTACATTTTCCAGATGAGTGACCAGGTTAAAGTTTTTGGAGCATGTCCATTCCCAGGATGAGTGACCAGGTTAAAGTTTTTGGAGCAGGTCCATTCCCAAGTAACTATAAGCCCTACCTGAACCAAACTTGCATGGATGATGCATCTAGGGATGGACACTACCAGACTTGCTTCGGATGCTGGATCTGACCTACATTTTCCAGATGAGTGACCAGGTTAAAGTTTTCGGAGCAGGTCCATTTCCAAGGAACTATAAGCCCTACCCAAACCAAACTTGCATGGATGATGCATCTAGGGATGGACACTACCAGACTTGCTTCTGATGATGGATCTGACCTACATTTTCCAGATGAGTGAATAGGTTAAAGTTATTGGAGTAGGTCCAAGCCCAAGGAACTATAAGCCCTACCCAGACCAAACGTGCATAGATGATGCATCTAGGGATGGACACTACCAGACTTGCTTTGGATGCTGGATCTGACGTACATTTTCATTTCCAAGGAACTATAAGACCTACGCAAACCAAACTTGCATGGATGATGCATCTAGGGATGGACACTACCAGACTTGCTTCGGATGATGGATCTGACCTACATTTTCATTCCCAAGTAACTATAAGACCTACCTGAACCAAACTTGTAGGGATGATGCATCTAGGGATGGACACTACAAGACTTGCTTCGGATGCTGGATCTGAAGTACATTTTCATTCCCAAGTAACTATAAGACTTACCTGAACCAAATTTGCATAGATGATGCATCTAGGGATGAACACTACCAGACTTGCTTCGGATGCTGGATCTGACCTACATTTTCATTCTCAAGTAACTACATGTGTTGTGGAAAGAATAGAAATGCGTCTTGATCGTATAGTGGTTTATTTTAGACTCTCTTATTAACTATAGAAACATAACGTACAGTATTGTGACGTAACAATAACGTTAACCTACATTACATAAATCCATGGATAATCCGTGACACTCCGGGCAATTCGTATATATACTCATCTGTGTTTGTGATTTCTTCTTCTATGTCCTCTTCAGATAAGGTGTCTAATATTCGTTCATTTAGTTCTTGTAGAGTTTGTCTTTTTTGCGTTAGGGACTTTCTGATTATTTCGATTTCCTCCGTTACTTCACTGGCTGTATTTTCTTTCAAGTCCAAAAATCGTCCGAAAAGTTTCGTCACCACTGATCTGTTACCGGCCCGTATGGCTTTCAGTCTTCCTTCCATTTTACGTATTATGTAGACATTCCGTCGATCACGGCACCAAAATTGTTGTGGAAAGAATAGAAATGCGTCTTGATCGTATAGTGGTTTATTTTAGACTCTCTTATTAACTATAGAAACATAACGTACAGTATTGTGACGTAACAATAACGTTAACGTACATTACATAAATCCGCGGATAATCCGTGACAACATGTATAAGCCCTACCTGAACCAAACTTGCATAGATGATGCATTTAGGGATGGACACTACCAGACTTGCTTCGGATGCTGGATCTGACCTATATTTTCATTCCCAAGTAACTATAAACCCTACCTGAACCAAACATGCATGGATGATGCATCTAGGGATAGACACTACCAGACTTGCTTCAGATGCTGGATCTGACGTATATTTTAATTTCTTAAGTAACTATAAGCCCTACCTGAACCAAACTTGCATGGATGATGCATCTAGGGATAGACACTACCAGACTTGCTTCGGATGCTGAATCTGACCTATATTTTCCCAAGGAATTATAAGACCTACCCGAACCAAACTTGCATGGATGATGCATCTAGGGATGGACACTACCAGACTTGCTTCGGATGCTGGATCTGACCTATATTTTCCATACAAGAGACCAGGTTAAAGTTTTGGGAACAGATTAATCCCAATGAACTTGAACCTTGATATCTGCAGTATTAACAAATTGATGAATATTTGTTTACACTATACATGTTTTTCACGCTTCATGAGTAGAAATTGTATATGCGCTGTAAGAGGTTAAACACAACTTGCAAGAATATTGTTGTTGGGATAAATAGTAGATATTAAGAAAATATGATGTGAGATTTGCATTACTTACACTGATAACATTCGTCGAGGTGAGCTTCGTAATCTTTGATTACCTATGTTTTTTCTCTGTTTAGGTTGTGTTTCCATTGTTTGGTCAATTAGACATGCCAGTTAGAAAGGGAGAGAACTCATCTAGTGAAGTGGATTACACTATTTGGTAAAAAGAAACACATTAACACATTTAAAAAAATATATCAGTAGAAAAACATTTTGAGTATTTTAGAAATTCAAAGATTGCTTGCAATGTGTACAGTGATACTCATTTAATATGAACTGTGGAATTTTCTGATATACTGTAAATCACGTTTTATTCGCTAGAACTTTATTTTCACATAATTACGCGAGACAATGAGCTCGTGAAAATTTCATTCTCGTGTTTAAAAGTATTCCTTATGATTATATAGAGTAAAAACAGCAATTCGTGAAAATTATGTCTCGCTAATAAAGAATCAATGACTATCTCGCGAAAATAAGGTGTCGCGAAAATTTAGTGATCTACAGTATAGTGATTTTTTTTGAATCCCCAGGAAAATTCTTAACAATGCATTGTAAATGTTTCCCCAGAACTTTTCCTCAACAAGTTTTTCTATATATTTCACTTTGCCTAATCTTTCAGTTCAAAGTTGATGCACATTGTCAGCAGTTTGATGGAGAGCTCTGTCACCATACAACAACAGATGATGCAGAATCGCGGCTTCCTGGTCATAGGGTATCTGCTGGAGAAGGTAAGAGGATCTTTGAATATATATGTAATTGAATTTCAACATAAATGACTTTTTATGTAATAAAAACTGTGGTATTTTTTTTTTGTCCTTGCATAATAAGAAGACAAAATTTGAGGCACTCCAGTCTTTGTTTTTAGGTCACCTGAGTAAACTCAGGTGACCTATTGCTATCTGTTTTCATCCGGGGGGGGGGGGGGGGGGGGGGGCCCCTCTACTTATATACTGAAAATGAATTAATTGATTGAAATCTTCTCCTTTGTATCAATCAAATATTTTTGATAAGCAAGGGTGCCTTTTCCAAAATTGTGAAATGTGTGGACCAAGGGTCAGGGGTTCATATGTGGTAGTGGCACTATACTGATTATTGCTGAATATTACTGATTAGTCGAAATGCATTTTTTTTGTTCCCCTACTCTGTGTATGGGTATTAAGTAACCAAACTAAACATGCTAATTATTGATATATATATGATTAGCAATTGTGCCTCTTTCAAAATTGTGAATGCCATGACGTCTAGTTTAAAACATGAACCAGAGTCTATCATTGTAAAGTTGTTGCATGATGCTCAGGTGACCTATAAGGCCCATGGGCCTCTTGTCTGTTTTAAAGTTGTTATAAGTTTCAATATATATTCTTTAACAGGCCAGCAGGGAGCATGTGACACCAGCAGTTCTGGAGATTTTCCTGAGACTGACCAATTATCTGGTGGCCCTGCCCACAGGAAGTGTTATCTTAAAACACTTGTTTGATCATATTTTATTCAACCCTGCTCTCTGGATCCACTCAAGTGTAGAGGTATATTGTGCTATCCATGTATTTGTTTTTCAAGTGGTCACAAATTAGTTTAATTATCTCTGGGATTATTTTCCTCCCTATAATTGAAGGGTGATCATTTTACTTGTATACAATCAATTATTGTTAAGATATGCAGTTGAAGTTTGATATCTCAAATACTGATATTTGGAATACCATGGATAAGTGGAACTGATTTGGTCCAACCACTTATTAAGTATTTTACTCTCAGTATCTTGAATCTTTGGATATCATAGTTTTTTCTTGACCTATCATGATTAAAATGGGAACGTTTAAAAGTATTTGTACCATATGCAGTAAAATCTAACATTAATCATGTTTTGAATATTATGAACAGGTCCAGACCAAGCTGTACTGCTACCTGGCTACAGAGTTTATAAACAATGCTCAGATTTATAACAACATCAGACGAGTCAGCGCTGTACTCCAGACAATGCACACACTGAAGCTGTACTACTGGGTGGTTAACCCAGCTGATAGGAGTGGGGTGGTACCTAAAGGGACTGGTAGGTTTTGTTTTAACAGATAAAGGCATATTTAGTGAAGCATTCTTTCTGAAAAGTGTTGGGGAAAAAAATAGTCATGAATTGGACTGTAGGAACTTAGATGCCTGTGGTACATGTATCCTTTACCAAGGAGTGATTAATAATTCTGCTAATCTTCCGTTCTTACAGTCTTATACTAATAATGACACTGCCTTGATATCTGACAGTGATGATGATTTAATTTAAGTGAGACATACGATGAATTATACTTGAACATCCTCTTAAAGTGAAGATTAACTTTGTTCAAATTTTCATAGTTAGGGTAGGTCCATGGTGTTAGGCAAAGGCTTACATAGAAATAGATAGAACCACAATGAGCTTAGTTTAAAGTGTAGATCCAAATCTTCTGAAGACATAACCTCCAAAATTTTGTTGGGACAGGTGTAGGTCGACACAAAGGAGTTTTTTTTTTAATTCAAAGAATCATTTTAAGTAATATTTTTGTTCACATTCTCTTAAACAATCACACTTCCCTTCTGATTTTAAACAAGAATGAAATAAAAGAATATTTTTTATAAAAAAAGAGATTATTAATCATAATGATATTAATTTTGGAAAAGATGTGAGGAATGTGAACATTTTAGGTGAATAGGCCTAGCCTTTTTCTTGATATTTTACTCTCACTAATTCTGTGACTTGTTTTTAGATGGCCCCAGACCAAACTATGATGAGATTGTTAAGTTACGGTCCTTCATGCTGATGTATATGAAGCAGCTTTTGTTGAAAGGAGCAGGGGTACAGGAGGAGGAACTCCAGAGTATTCTTAATTATCTGTCCACTCTACATGAGGTGAGGATTTACTTTGAATTTTTTTTTATTGAAATGTTGATATTCTTTTTAAAAAAAGAATATTGAATGTAACAAAAAGCATGCCAAAATATTTGCCAACATTTAATTTTTGTACTCGTTTTTAATTTGTACAACTGGTAAAAGATAGACAACTCTTAAAAAATTAAAAGAATAGGACATCCATTTCCATTATGCACCAAATTCCGCAATATTTATTGTCAAAAGTCTTCGTAATTTAATCTGTCAATGATGTTTTTACAGGATGACAACTTGATGGATGTTCTGAAGTTGACTGTGGAGCTAATGGCAGAACACCCTATGTCCATGGTGCCCTCTTTTGATAAGAAAGGAGGAATAAGGTGAACATCTGTAAAAAAAAAAAAACTGAAATCTGCAGATATTTGGAATTTTGCCAGATGTGATTTGTAAAAGATCAGGTACTTCTAAACTGTAAACCACCAACCATTTGTTAAAGATATGTATATTTTACAAATTTGTTGCAGAACAATTTTTAAGCTGCTGGCCTCCCCATCAGAAGAGTTAAGGATCCAGTCACTAAAACTGCTGGGATTCTGGCTAATGAGAAGCACACACAAGTAAGAACCAACACCAGTAATCTCCCTTTACTTTCCATCCCCTCTACCTTAAACGATATCTTGCTTTTCCTGTTACGGGTGATCGGTGCTGTATATTTACAGGAGTTCACCAATGCAGATGATCAAAATACTTTTTAGTCGGTCATCAGTCAAAAGTCACTTCAGGTTTTACATTGAAGCATCCTTTGTCATTTTAACAGTGTATATTATATGTACTAAAATGTATTTTCAGTTTTCTCAATGTTTATTTTTGAATGAATTTCAATCTAAATTTTCTGATCATGACATGCCTGCAAACATGAGAAAATGATATAAGCTTTTCATAGAAACTTTCATATTACATGCACATGTATTCTAATTAAGGACATACATTGTACTAAAGATTTAATTTATTGGCATGAATTTACCATACTTTTGATCTTATGCAGTATGATCTTTTATGTCTAAACAACTTCACAATTAAATCAGCTGAAATTTTATCATTTCGTAGTAGAAAAAATGCATGATTGCCAAAAAAAATTTGAAAGAGCTGTTGATGAACAACAGATGATGTATTTGTAGCTACTAAATATAAGTAGAATAAAAAAAAATTTGTGTTGAATATGGAATAAAATTTGTAAACTAAATAAGAAAAAAACACACATTTTAAGTGCTGGATGTACATGAATTTGCATTGTGCATTTGCAATAAATTTCAATTCATTGAAACGTGGTTTCAATTCATGAACATTAATCTCATACCATTATAATCTACAGGAGGAAATCAGATGCCCTTGGACCACACAACTTGTTTTCCTTGATAGGAGAGCGCCTGATGCTGAATGTGTCCACCATAACAATGCCTATATACAATGTCCTGTTTGAGGTGAGAATACATGTTTTATTTACATGTGTGATACTGTAAATAACTTTTTATTCGCGAGAACTTTATTTTTGCATAATTACGCGAGACCATGTGCTAGCCAAAATTAAATTCTAGCGTATAATAGCATTCCTTAAGATTATATAGAGCAATAACCACAATTCGTGAAAATTTTGTCTCGCTGATAAGAGTCAATTACTATCTCGCAAAAATATGGTGTCGTGAAAATTTAGTGATCTTCAGTAGATTTTTTCTTCTGTAAAGGTCGTGCAAAAACATTTGTTGAATTTAGTCGATATCCTCATATATTATATAAGAAGATTATTTTCGTAATTTTCTTAGGCTGAAAGAACATCACATGAAATTCCTCCTTTTGTGATGTTGACGCGCAAGCGTAGCCACAGAAAGTGATATTGCCTGACACACCATTCGGTTGCACCAAAGTTACAAAGAATGTGACGTCATAATATAAGAACCGTGTTTTAACTATTGTGACATAATGACAGCCGAGTCTGTTCAGTTAAGACTGTGTCAGTGCATTCACTTTGAGTGATTATATAAGATAACTATGGACTTCAGTGAATGGTCAATATGTGGTTATAAGGACTCATGGCAATATTGATATTGACCTCAGACATAGAAGTTAATAGCAACCTCACAGGCTCAGTCGCTATCACTTTTTTGTCTGAGGTCAATATCAATTGCCATGAGTCCTTATAACCACATATCAACCTACACTGAAGTCCTTAACTGTATAATAGGGTAAAAGGCGCTCACAGGGAACACACTATTATGACGTCATGTACTATGTAACTTTAGTGCAACAGAACAGCGTGTCATGCAATATTATTTTCCGCGGATGCGCTTTCGCATCAATATCACAAAAGGAGGAATTTCACGTGACGTACTTTCAGCCAATGAAAACTATGAAAATAATCTTCTTGTATAATAGAATGAATTGATGCATTAATACGGTGAAGTAATTTTATACCACATAGCTTTAAAATATATTATGAAACTTAAAGTTTGGATGTAGCGAACTAAGCTTATATAGAAGATAAATCAGCAATCCCTGGCACTTCATTATAAGTGTCTTTTACTGTTAAATTCTGAATGCAAGAACTGGTTTTAAAAAAAATAAGAGATAAATTTTATTACAATAGGTTGTGATTTACAGTGATATGTTTTATGTTCCAGCTTCTAACAGAAAGAATGACCTTGGAGACCTGCACACAAAAACACACAGAACCAGATTCAAATATCAAGATTGAAAATTCTGGTAATATTGCTATTAAAAAAATCTTAGATTCTAATTAATTATCCAAGTGATTTGATTGATAAAAAGTTTATTTTAAAATGATGTTTTAAAACAATATTCTGTTTTTAAAAACTTCTGTTCATTGCTGATTACCATTGCTGGTATTTAACTTTTGATCGTGTTTTACAGCTATTCTTAAGGTGGTGGCGACCATGATCCGTCAGTCTAAGCTTAGTCCTGTTGTTATGGAGGTCAAACGCTGCTTCCTGTCTGATCTGACCATACTGTGTAACAACAATAGGGATAACAGAAGGTGACACTTATATGATATAGATTTCTCTCATTCTGCTAATCTGAATCTTTGTCAGTTGCTTTATTATAAGCCTTATTCATTGTACTCAGTTAAATAATTTGCAATTTTCTACAATTGAGAAGGATTCTGAATGTTGTAAACATGAATTTTGATTATGTCCAGTCCCATGAAGCTTTTTTAAAATGAAAAACGATTACCCTTGTATGAAGCTGGTCTCTAACAAGATTCCTGTGTATTGTAGAACTGTGCTGCAGATGTCAGTATGGCAGGACTGGCTGTTCACTCTAGCGTACATCTACCCCCGTAATGAGGAGGAACAGAAGATTACAGACATGGTAATGGCATTATTCAGGATGCTCCTACATCATGCTATCAAGTTTGAGTTCGGGGGATGGAGAGTTTGGATTGATACTCTAGCTATTCTACACTCAAAGGTAAATAGGAAATATTTTCCAGATAAGATATTGCTTAAAATAAGAACTTAAAATTTGTTTTTACTGAGTATGTATGTGTGAAATGTCACATTAGTTTGGTTACTAAATGGTTTATTTTTATGCACAGGTTGCCTATGAAGATTTCAAAATTCATATGTCCAAGATGTACGACCATTATGTCAAAGTGAAAGCTGATGATGTTGATCCCCAAGAACGAGATCAGCACCCGGTCAGTACTGTGTCAGGTGTATCAGACAGAGTCCTCAATAAACCAGTACCAAAAAGTACCGTTAAAGTAACAGAAATACCAGAGGAGAGTGAAGAAACGGAGGACTCTAATGTGAACAATGTTGGTAAGCTGACCAATGGAGAAGTGGCAGAACCCAGTGAGGGGGATTCAAACAGTGAGGTCAAACAATTCCTGGAGGACGTGATTAATGATGTCGTCCAGAAGGTGGAGTCCAAGAAACCACAGGCGGAGGCCAGGGAGCCACCACAACAGGAAGTGGTGGAGCAAGAGTCGTCCGAGGGTCGACCTACGGTCAGAAGGTCTGCATCACTCGACAGACCCCGACCAGCGGAGACCAAAAAATACCCCACCCGCTCACAGTCATTTAGGGAGGGGGGAACTAAAATGTTCAGTACAGGCCCCCGTGCCCCTCCCTTTAGAATCCCAGAATTCAGATGGTCAGCTTTACACCAAAAACTTCTGTCTGATCTTTTGTTCTCTATAGAAACTGATGTACAAGTCTGGAAAAGGTAAGTGCACATACAAGCTACAGTATCTATTCTTACTCTTCCAGTTTTTGTATTGGATTTAACAGAAAATCTGAGATTGTTTTGTTTTCTCCTTTATACAGCCATAGTTCTCGGACAGTGATAGACTTTGTAAATGCCAGTGAGAACCATGTGTATGTAGTGAATGTCACTCACATGATTTCCCAGCTGGCTGACAACCTGATAACGTCATGTGGAGGGTTACTTCCCCTGCTGGCTGCTGCCACATCACCAAGTGTAAGTACTACAAATGATGTATTTGTAACAGTGTGGGGATCAAGTTTTCTTATTCTTGCCAAAGATAGGTAAATTTCTATCTTATTATACCATTAGTATTCTCAGTATTTTTTTCAATTTTTTTTCGGTGTACCTGATTTTGAGGTCTGGTGTAAAGTAGAAATTGGGGGAAAAAAATTGAGTTCATCAAAAATGATGAAGTGATATACAGTTACACGTCATCTCCAAACTGTTATTTGAAATGAATCTAGTTGATCTTACTCAAAAGCTGTGTGTTATACAGGGAGAGGTGGAGATTTTGGAGCCAACCCAGGGCCTGAGTATTGAGCAGGCTGTCTCTATCCTTCAGAGGATCATGAATTTGACTGATGTACTCATATTTGCCAGCTCCACTAATTTTGCCGAGTTGGAACAAGAAAAGAACATGCCAGCTGGTGGCATCTTGAGGCAGTGTTTAAGACTCGGTAAAATCTAAACTTACATTTATTTTACCATTCTTTATTGGTAAATTTTACCTTTTTTGCAGTATTTTATCAAAAAAACTTATAAAAGGTATTCAAATTGATGTAAGCATAGTAACCATTGAATTAGTCTTTTCTAAAAATGGAAGTTCCCAGTTACTCAATCAAAAGAAGAAAGAAGGATAACTTGCCAGATAATATATGAAATAATAGTTTTCATGAAGGTTCGTTTCATGCAATAAATATGTTATTTTTGTGGTCACAGTATGTACCTCAGCGGTGAGGAACTGCCTGGAATGTCGTCACCGATCCCATCTTAGATCCCCTCCCGGTACTCCCACTGCATCCCCCTCTAGTAGTACCAGAGGATCCAGGAGCTTTAACGGGATGGATCCCATACAGGCTCTTATCATGGCCTCACACCCAACAGAAAAGGTACGGAGGAACATAGATTTTTTTTAGATGGGGGATGTTCTTTGAATTTTGGTATTACAGATAGATAAGTCCTGATGAGATTTTTCTTTTAAATTTGTTGTTATATCCTGGTAATTTGTATTTTGTGTAATTGTAGAATATTGTTGAGAATCTGAATGAGCAGGCTTCTCCCATCAAGGACTTTGATAAGCTGTTACAGGATACGGACATTAATAGACTGAGAGCTGTCGTCTATAGAGATGTGGTGAGTCTAAATTCAATTAAAATTTTAAAAAATTTCTTTATTTTTTCAATTTTAACAATTTTTTGGGAAAATGCGAAAAAGGTACTTTATGAATTTATGTATCATATGTTTGAGCAGCAGGATGTAGTGGTATGCAATTTCCGGACCTACTTTTATATTGCATTGAATAATGAACTTGTTTTTCAGGAGGAGACAAAACAAGCCCAGTTCTTGGCCCTGGCTATTGTGTACTTCACATCAGTGCTGATGGTGTCTAAATACAGGGACATCTTGGAACCCCCCAGCCCAGCTGCCACCCCAACCTCCCACAGAATGTCTATCAACTCCCCCTCAGGTAAGACGCTTATAGTATTAGCTCAGTCACCAGCTAGATATTGTATTAAATTGTCAGACATAGAATAGAATCATTGTAAAATTTGTCTTACTTTGTCTTGCAACTCTGAAAACGTAAGATAAATCAACTGAAGGCTTTATAATCACACTAGAGAAATTTATTTGTTCAACAAGCTTCAGCCATTTTACAAAACCTAAGGCCACTTTTGGAAGGAAATCAAAATGGAGAAAATAAATTGGGGCTACAAATGAGCAAGTCGGATCAAGAAGCAAATGGAGCTAGGTTAAATGAGGAGGAAGAAGACTCAGGGGAAGATTTGCCTCCAGAACACAAACCTCTAGACAAAGCTATGGTTGAGGCAATTGTAGCAGAAGATGATGGGGGAGGAAGTGTGTTGGCCGAAATGTTGAGTGGCAGTCGGAGTTCTTATGACGAGATTCAGGAAGATCCAAACACCCAGACGACTGAGACTGAGTCAGACTCGCTCACCCAGACAAATACTGAGACCGAGTCCTTTGAGAATGAGGCTCACGAGGGGAAGAAAGGTTACCTGGATGTTCATTATTGTGTGCCCCACATAGCTGTCTCACTATTGATGAATAGCATGGATGTCGTCTTGTTGTATATCTATTGTTTTATGACCTTAATCTCTCACATTTATTCAAGGTTTAGTTATTGATATGTTCATTTGATATAAGCTCATTTGCTCCATATCTTTGAGTTTTCATTATTACTGTGCATCGTTTTCTTTTTCATTTTGAAATTATGTAAAAGTTATCTCTCTTCTCTTGTTTTTACCACTCATTACTTTAAGACCTATGGTTTCCTGTATAAAACTGGATCATCAGTGATTTCTCTTAGACTTACTAAATATGAACTCTTTCACGATTGTAATATGTTATGTTTCACCTATTTGAGATGAATTTTGTGTATATTCTGGAATGAACAGTTACTATTGTTGTGATGGATGACTTTAAATAGTGTCAATCTGTCAGGATAATTGAATTTGCAAATGCATACTTTTATGTTATTTTCCAAACGTGGACCTTTATGCACATTCTGTACACCTGTTAATAAGCTTGTTTTTTTTTTATAACAGATGAGGAGTTTGATAGTGGAGACGTCACCAGTGATGGAGATGTATCAAGGGAGGTAATCGATGGAGAAGAGGCATCAGCCGACCAAAGCATGGAGGAATCCCCAAAAATGAAGATCAAAGCCGACATCAACGTAACAGATACAACAGGTATAAAATGTAGAACAGAGTCAGAAAATTTGTCATATCATTTCCAGATAAAGCAGTGGTTTTATTCAGTTTCATTTGTCTCTATTTAGATGAGGATTCAGCTACAAGGTCAGCTACAGGAAGTGAAGACCTTGACAAAAGTGCAGACTCAGCACAGCTAGAGGAAGAGGGAGGAAGCGAGGAGGAAAGAAAGGAAACTCCTAAAGAAGAAACAAAAGAGGACGAACCAGAGGAGGAAGAGGCAAAGGATGAAGATAATGGTGAAGAGGAACAATCCAAGCAAGAGGAGGAAAAGGTTGACAATGAGGAAAAAGAGGAAAAGGAGGAAGCTGTAGAGGAAGGAAAGGAGGAAGCTGAGGGTCAAGAAGAGGAAGGTGCCAAAGAGAAGGAAGCAGCAGGCACATCAGAGGAACCAACACAGGAGGAAACACAACAAAAGGAACAAAAGGAAACAGGTAAAGAAAGGGAAAAAACTTCAAGATGTAGAGAAAGTATATTGTTTTTGGTATTAATGTTTATATTTCAGTCTGTTTAACTGCTTCAACTTGTGCCTGAGCTTTAACTTGGTAACCCTTTTTTTAACTATGAAATATATTCAATATTTTTTTATGATTGCAATTTGGTGACTTTGGTCAGAATAAAACAAACACCATCATTTAGTGAATTGTTTTAAGTTCAAGTTACATTTACCCTTTCAGAAGAAGTAACAGAAGAAAAACCAAGCACACCAAAGGAAAATGGGGAGGTTCAAGAAAATCATGCTGAAGAAAAACTGCCCCAGGAACCGCCACCGGAACCACCAGCTGGTGCCGAGGTCCACGTAGACCACAAAGAAGATGAGGGCAAGAAAGCTGAAGCCAACAAACCTATCCATGCCATATCTGTCACTAACAAAGATGACAGGCCTAAACTGGAGAAGCTTCAGATGCCCAACAAGATTCACGACACTCTGGCCAACCTCCCTGCTGTGGTGGGGGAACCCACAGGATCCCTCACGGAGAGGCTGGAGAAAGCCCTGGGGTCAGTCTCACCCCTGCTCAGGGAAATCTTCGTGGATTTTGCTCCATTCTTGTCCAAGACACTGATTGGCTCTCATGGACAAGAACTACTTATAGGAGGTGGGTTTGCATTGTTTGAAGTACAGACTAATCTGTGATGATAAATTTTATCTATGGTATATGGAAATTATGGCTTTGGAATATTTTATTTCACATTATTCTGTTGTATAGGGAATGTGCATATGGGGTTTGATACATGTACTTCTAGTATTTTGCAAAAGTTCAGGAATTTTCTAAATTCTTACAGAGTAAAATAATTTACCATGGAAAGCTTAAATTGCTCTGTTATATGTAAGCATCAACTTGATATATTCTAGTTTTCTATATACAGGATTTACTTTAAACTTACAATATTACTTGACCTTGGATATATATTTTTAGGTTTGGTGACTTTGAAACAAAGTACATCAGTGGTAGAACTAGTCATGTTGCTCTGCTCCCAGGAATGGCAGAATTCATTACAGAAGCATGCTGGACTGGCCTTCATAGAACTGGTCAATGAAGGAAGGTAAAGATTTACTAAATCTGTGTATATGATGGAAAACTTGCTTAAAGAGTTTCATTCCAATTACAGTAAGCATGGGAAGACTATTAGGGTTCCTGAAATATTAGACTTGAGTGAAATCCTGAATATTAATTGTAGGTTACTTGCTCATGCTACCAGAGACCACATTGTAAGGGTGGCAAATGAAGCCGAGTTTATTCTGAACAGAATGCGGGCAGAAGACGTACAGAAACATGCAGAGTTTGAGGTATGACATTAATTAGAATTCATAATTTAAATACATGTAAAATTAATTAGTGAATTACGAGCCATTATCAAGGTATTCTGGGAAGGAACAGATGTCTACCATCATCTTGATGAAATGCACGAGGGTTGCCAAGGTCAATAAATGAATGCCTCAGTGGACATTGTAATTGTGCATATGGATCATTTACTTCCTAACAGTTAAATAAATATTAATTATCTCAATATGAATCATAAATGTGGAGAAAATGGTGAACCGAGAAAATCATTTTTCTGAACCAGTTGCTTCTTGAAAGTATAAATAAAAAGTTTCTTTTCTTTCATAAACTGTCTAAATGACAAATTGTTAAAATTAATGCACTAATTAATTATTGGCGTTGAGGCATCAGGTGCTCTCTTTTCTGTCTGTATGCCCTCTTGCTTAGCTTAAAAAAACTTAAATGTTATTAAGTACTCTAGACCACTCTACTGTTTTCAACTAAACTTGAGAAAACAGAATTATTGTTTGTTCTCACTGGAGGACTGTAATTCTCATTTAGAATCAAGAAATATTCATTGGGAAACATTTTAAGGGGTCATATAAAAGTTTTTTCACATTGCTAGAAATGACAAAAATTATGCTTATTATTGGCAGTATTTAAGTTACTGTATGGTAACTTTCTAAAGTATACTTGAATTGCAAGATATACCAGTTCAAAGAAGTAGGCTAGAAAATTCTTTTAAAAAGTCCTATTGACAAATATTTCACCACCACAATATCAAAGGAGCAAGGACAAAACTTGAGCTCACGTTTAGTATGACAAGGATATCACCTGGAAATGATTCCGTAATAGTGACTCTTGGAGTCTCTGATGATGACGGTGGATTTTGTTTCTTCCCTGAAAAAGTAAACATGAAGGAAAATTTTATTTTCAGTCACTTTGTGCTCAAACCATGCTGGACCGCAAAGAGGAGGAAAAAATGTGTGACCATCTCATCAAAGCAGCCAAACGACGAGACCACACAGTAGCCATTAAAACCCGCGACAAAATACTCAACATCCTCACCAACAAACATGGGGCCTGGGGCAGGCCCGAGACTGAACAGTAAGTCATTACCCCTGTTAACTTGCTATAGATAAACAACAAAAACTCAACTTTACCAAATCATGGCAGGGGAAGGAGATTGAAAAATCCAATCTGAGCCCTCATGATAGAGAATCAAGTAATGCCATCTTTAGCTAGTAGGTTCAACTTAAGGCATAAGTTTTTTATTTCTTTTGGTTAACGATTCCACCAGCCATAATTTTCACCAATCAAGAAAATAAAAAGATAATATATTACTCCTGACATCACCAAGAATGTACCTTAGGGAAATTGTACTTGGAAAATTTTTTGGCTCAAATTGTGGACAATGAAGTGGATTATCTACTTAATCATTCTGATGTAAATTTTTTCAGCGACAGAGATTTCTGGCGATTAGACATTTGGGAGGATGATTCCAGAAGACGACGGAGATTGATTAAGAATCCGTATGGATCCACACATCCAGAGGCCACACTAAAGGCAGCCTTAGAACATGGTTAGTAATCCATTCAGATAGGTCTTAAAACAGATATCACCTAGAATGAAAAATTAAATTAAAATGCACTGTAAAAAAGATTTGTAAAAAAAAAAAATTGAATCTCACATATATCAGAAATCAAAAAATTATTTGACATCAATCCTGATACAAATTTCTTCACAACTTTTGGTAAAGTGCTAACACACAAACAGTTAAGTACAATTGCTTCAATACATTTAATTCCCCTCCAGTTTCTTTGCAAGGGGATATGTACAGTGATAAACCCTTTCTTAATTTGGAAATATTGTTGTAGGAGAGAATGAAGATGCCATTAACCAGGCCCGGGAGGCCTTCCATGCTCACCTGGCCAAGCTCAAGAGATCCCAGATTCAGCCGGATTACACGGACGAGGAGCTACTAATGGAGGAGAGAGACATGGAACCAGAGTTTGCCGGTAGGTGGGGCTGTTCTATGGTGTTTAGTGCTGGATTCGAAATTATAGCTGCTAAGCTAGGTAGATATCAAGTTCTGTCGAACCCAGTTTATTACTAAACACTTGTTATTCTTAAGTGGCTTGCCTAGCATATATTACATATTTTCTTCACCTTAAGTTTGCAGCTGTTATGATCTGTAACACATCCCTGTTTTCAGTATCAGTAAATTGGAAATCATTTCATTATATAGATAACGCTTTTTAATAAAATTCTTTCATGTTCTCGTATATTGTTTTAGAAGCAAGTGTTTCACTGAGAAATGATTAGGTTTTTTTTATTTGTACAGGTCCTGTTGCTATGTCTACATCCTGTAAGCTGATAGCCCCGGGAGCAGCCATTAATGGAATCATGTCCATCACTAAAACAGAAATGTACTTTGAGATGGATGAAGAGAATGAAGAAAACAAGAAACTTGACCCTAAGGTATTGACTCACTTCAGTGTTACCTGTATCAGCAATAGTAAGTATGGTCAGCTGATACAGGTGGGCAGTGCTCAGAATATATATGTTGGTAACAAGATATCAGCTGTTCTAATAATGGAACACTGATATCAAGGTGTTTTGTACAAGACATCATTATTACAGAGGTTGTCAGTGGTAGTAAATCTTCAGTGTCTTCTGTAGAACACATGAGATCCTCAAGATTTTTCTGCTGTACAACTGGAACATTGTGTTCTGGTCTTAAACTGTTTTTGCCTTCCAGGGTTTTTGTTGAGTATACTTTCAGTTATAATGGCTGCTGATGGTGTAGAAGACAACTTTTTTTGATTGATCTGAGATCATCTGAATCGGCTGAAGTCTCTCTAAGTTGAAGTTGAACTTGGCTACACTTCTGCACTTCAAAGATGGAGCTAGTTACATATTAAAGATCAATGCTGTTGTTGGACTACATTGGATACCACAGTCTAAAATAAACTGAAAGAGTGGTCTTCCAGGGATCCCAAACCATGGAACTGTAGTTCAGTTCTCTCACATTGGTAATATTTTTGTCACAAGAAAAAACGCATTATACACGTAGTTGCCAACCCACATCTTATTTTGTTGGGTTACTCTCAATTTGTTTTGACAAATTAATTGAAAATTCAAATCAATTATAAAACAAATTTGAATTTTGCCTTGGTAAATATAGATCGATAGGATTCACAAACAATCCAATCGTAAGGGGGCCGAAATTTTAGTACAATATTTTGAGGCATCATAGTAAAATGAATTGTCTTTACTGTTTTAGTGCAATTTTTTTCGCTTAATTATTAAAATTAAACAAAATTAAGTAATTATAGGTATAAAAATGTAATTACAATTTGATACAACTAATTTTTTAACCGATTTTGCAATTGATAGGTAGGTTGACGTCGTTGCAGTGTGTTTTTGACGTTATGATAATCTGTAGCTCTTAAAGAAAGGGGTAATAAAAATATTATTAAAGAAAAAGTAATAAAGATACTCATGAAATTTAAAACATGAAATTTATATTCACCAATATTTTTATTATGTTTTCATGTGAAGCATTGTGCTCGTCATATTTTGTAATATTCTATAAAAATAGTAAAATCTGCTAATTTTTTGCTTTTTGGATGCCCCCTTGTAACAAGATGTAGAATTTTGTGTTTTTACAAATATTGTATAACATAGTATTGTATCAAATATCATAGTTTGAACAAAATGTCTACAATTAATAATTTGCTTTAAAGTGCTAAAAATTGGTATTTTCCTATATAATCCTATAGTAAATGTACCTGTATTTTGAGACAAAAAACCTGGACGGTAGATTTCCCCCAAACTTTGCATGTACACTGAAGTTAATGTAAGTCATATATGGTATAAAAATGAAGAGTTTTGCTATTGTGGTTTTCACACAATAAAACTATAGTCGGCCCCCTTAAAAGAAGGAAAAAACATTTATGTACATTTCAAAGAATCTTATAAAACAACTTGGATAAAATAATTTGATCGATGATAGCATTATGCTCATGTACATTATGTATAATTTGTACTCGTTTATTGGGACTCATGATCAAAATGATCTTTTGAAACCAAATTTTTTTTTGTTCTCAAAACAACTATGCAGATTTGGAAAGAACTTTTAGTTTAACAAAATAATCTACACTTAATTCAGGTCAAGACTAAACAATGAAACTGTAACCCTTTTACGATGTAAATTTTTATCAAAGAACTTAATCAATGAAAATTAAAATCTTGCTTTTGTGAGTTGAAATTGCTCCCCCCCCCCCCCCCCTAAAAAGGTATCCAATGCAAAAATGCTATTTGTACATATTCACATTTAAAATGTGATATAATCATGATACTGTAAACCAACTTTTATTTGCGACGACTTTATTTCACGATTTACCAGTGGTAAACTACTTCGCGATGATTCACAGATTAAGCTTTTTTTAATCACACAGAGACTTTAACAATTTTACGTGGAAAGAAATGTATTGCGATTAAGGACTGAACTTCAAAAAGTAGATTGTCAAATAAAAGTTGGTTTACAGTAAATTTCATGAAAAATAAGAATTATTTTAAATGTAAATGTGACTTTTCTATGATTGAAATTTACATCAAAGAATTGCTTTTTTTAAAAGAGGTTTTATATATGCATAAGTCACAGCATGAAATCCTATCACTGGGCACCAGAAAGTTGGTTTTACTCAACAAAAAATTCTAAATGGGTGTCAATAGATTTTGTTTGCAATATTTTCTTTAATGAAATAAGGAATTTAGAAGGGAAAAATAAAAGAATAGAAAACTGCTTGGCCAAATTACAATTTATAAAAAAAGAATAATAATCCATGTATCTGATGGACAGTATAGGTAGGCATTTTAATGTCACGTAAAATTTGCAACACAGAAAAAAAATGAATCGGGTTTACTCCATTACAATGAGTATAATAGATAATTGTTTCACATAAATAAAAAAACTGCATTTACTTTAGTGAATTAACAAAATTGATTCACTCACCTGGCAGAATATAATATTTTGTGTCATAGTCAGGTTAGATGGACGGTCATGAACTAATGATAATTCATTATTTTTTAAGTATATGTAAGGTCAATGTAACAGGATCTACTGTACAAATAGGTTTTTTTGTTGTTTCCTTATCTGTTTTTAAATGGGGAGTCTTGTATGGATTCTATCTAATTGAAATGTTCAAAATAAATAGGTTTGACATTGTTTTATTTTAGAAGTTAGGAATATTGCTCAAATGTCTTTTATTTTGAGATATCAGAAAATTAAAAGATGATACAGTGAAAACTGTCTAATCCTATACCTGAATAATCCGACACACTGTGAATTCTGACATTAAATTTCTTTCCCATTTTACTATTAACACTGAGCAATCCAACATCCTGTCTATTCCAATACAAAATTTGTCTTCCAGTGCATTTCAGATAAAACAGGTTTCACTGTTTTCAGCTCTACTGGTCAGAGTCCGTCTGTCTGTCTGTCCGTCTGTAAACAATTTTTCAAAATGCTATTCCTCCTACAGTTTTGGACTGATTTCAATATAACTTGGCACACAAGTAGACTACACTAAGATACATAATTCTATGTATCGGTTTTTAATTTCGATGAACGGTGTTGCCGTTGTTTAAAAATAAAAATTTTTGTGAAAAATTCAAAATGCTACTCCTCCTACAGTTTTAATCTGATTTCAATATAACTTGGCACACAAGTAGACTACACTAAAATACATAATTCTGTGTATTGGGTTTTAATTTCGATGAATGGTGTTGTCGTTGTTACTAAAAATAGAAATTTTTGTGAAAATCATTCAAAATGCTACTCCTCCTACATTTTTGGTCTGATTTCAATATAACTTGGCACACAAGTAGACTACACTAAGATACATAATTCTGTATATTGGTTTTTAATTTCGATGAACGGTGTTGCCGTTGTTACTAAAAATACAAATTTTTGTGAAAATCATTCAAAATGCTATCCCTCATACAGTTTTAATCTGATTTCAATATAACTTGGCACACAAGTAGACTACACTAAAATACATAATTCTGTGTATTGGGTTTTAATTTCGATGAATGATGTTGTCGTTGTTACTAAAAATAGAAATTTTTGTGAAAATCATTCAAAATGCTACTCCTCCTACATTTTTGGTCTGATTTCAATATAACTTGGCACACAAGTAGACTACACTAAGATACATAATTCTGTATATTGGTTTTTAATTTCGATGAACGGTGTTGCCGTTGTTACTAAAAATACAAATTTTTGTGAAAATCATTCAAAATGCTATCCCTCATACAGTTTTAATCTGATTTCAATATAACTTGGCACACAAGTAGACTACACTAAAATACATAATTCTGTGTATCGATTTTTGATTTCGAGGAATGGTGTTGTCGTTGTTACTAAAAATAGAAATTTTCGTGAAAATCATTCAAAATGCTACTCCTCCTCCATTTTTGGTCTGATTTCAATATAACTTGGCACACAAGTAGACTACACTAAGATACATAATTCTGTGTATCGGTTTTAAATTTCGATGAACGGTGTTGCCGTTGTTACTAAAAATAGAAATTTTTGTGAAAATCATTCAAAATGCTACTCCTCCTACAGTTTTAAACTGATTTCAATATAACTTGGCACACAAGTAGACTACACTAAAATACATAATTCTATATGTCGATTTTTGATTTCGATGAATGGTGTTGTCGTTGTTACTAAAAATAGAAATTTTTGTGAAAATTTCAAAATGCTACTCCTCCTACAGTTTTGGTCTGATTTCAATATAACTTGGCACACAAGTAGACTACACTAATGTACATAATTCTGTGTATCGGTTTTTGTCATTATTCTATTTATTGCTTTTGTAAAGTTTTATATCCTTACTGTTACTTTTCTCTTTCTTTATTATAAGTACAAACCAAGAAGTCTTGACAGAGACTTTTTATTATTTCCCACAAATGTACAATTTAAAATGGAAAACAGCGTTTAAAAAAACATCAAGGTGGGACTATATTTTTGACAAAACAGTGAAACCTTAATGCATAGAAAAATACAAGAAACTTGTATTCCTTTAAATCTAAAGGAAAGATTGATTGTATGTTGTTTAACGTCCCTCTTGAGAATTTGTTACTCATTTTGAGACACCACCACTTGCCGGTGGAGAGCTGCAAATTTTCTATACTCAGCACTGGGGGCCATTGAGCAGGGAGGGATCTTATTCATGCCAGCACCTACTGCAACATAGGACCTCTGTTCCTTATTCGAAGGACCAATTTCCACGTCCCGCAGTGGGATTCAAATCTCCAACGTAAGGATCAACTCCTTACTTCGCGACTCTCTCTAGAGCAGACGCTCTAACTACTGCACCAAGCGGGCAAATTAAAGTAAAGAAGTGAAATTCATTTTTACCAATATCTTCATTTTTACCAATATCTATATATCTCTTTTTTGTAGT